TTTGTTAGTTATTTTCGTTTAAATTATGACAAAATGTGAGCCAATAGAGCCAAACACCCTGGGCAGCAGACAAAAATTGGCGTCATGGTGGTGGTTGAGTCCTACCTTTCAGGAAAATTAGACCGGCCGAGGTTCAGTGAAGTTACATACTTGCTACCCCGCATATGAATGCCTCTGTTTCAAGAAGCATGACGTCATTTCAGCCTGGAGCTTCCCCTTCATAAAGAGGCCTTTAAGCGTTGGTTCATCAGTATGGGTACCCATATGAAAGAGGTGACGGGTTAGGTCGGGTAGAGATTATGGGAATTCAGGGGTATGAGCACGGATATGGGTAACATATTTACAAAATGGCGGTTGGATGTTCCAAAAATACTGGAATTACACAATATTACTGCTTTCCAACATTCTGGTCATAATCAGCTCCATTCACGTTATTTTTTGTTATCAACGCAGAAGAGTGCACTTGGGTTCAAACTTACCTGAGGCGCTTACTTGACTTAGATCTTGTGTGTTGGCAAAAAACCGCCCCGTCACCACGGCTCCGGCTGACGTCATGGGAGATGTGCGAACCAACCGACGGTGCTTGGGCGTTGAACTCGTCTGTCTGGCGTGAGGCTGTCGAGGAGAAACATGCTTTGGTGCGGATGAAAAGGCCGCTTTGTCTGTTGCGGCGCAGGTGACAGTCGGGCGTGCCTGTGAGCTAAGCAGTCCTCTCAGATTCACATTGCTCAGTCACGCCTTCCATAGCGGCCGACATGCGGAAGTTTTCGCTGAGCCACGGGCAGTTCGTTCCATATGAGAGAGAGAGCGAGAGAGAGAGAGAGAGAGAGAGAGAGAGAGAGAGAGAGAGAGAGAGAGAGAGAGAGAGAGAGAGAGAGAGAGAGAGAGAGAAGAGAGAGAGAGAGAGAGAGAGAGAGAGAGAGAGAGAGAGAGAGAGAGAGAGAGAGAGAGAGAGAGAGAGAGAGAGACGGTTTATTGAGAAAAGTATGACTTGGGGTATCAACTCATATAGCACGTGTGCACAACATACACATGAAGTAGGATACTACATAGTTGATAATATTTTATGTGATATGATGATATATATGTTAATGAAAGTGGTTATATGCGGAATACTTTATTTGCGTAGTCCACAGTCGCAGACCACGGCAAAACGTTTGGAGCGCGCTGCGCTTCGGGTATTTCTGCCGAAGATCGCCACTCGCTACTTCGGAGGCAGACGGCTATGCATAGGAGACGCTTGCATTTATTTTTCTAGCCTAAGGCATAGGTTTTCTCTTCTGTCAGTAGAGATTTCCATGTCCAAGCGTTGCAAGATACACGAGTACTTTTCCAAACGGCCGAAGATGATTTTCAAGGCTCTCTTCTGCACTCTCTCAAGATGTTGCATCTGCTTGGCAGTGAGTTCCGCATGAAAACTGGCGCACAATATTCTAGCAATGCCTGGATGTAAGCAACATACACTCGAACAAGCTGTTTCTGTGGTGGATGGTATATCTTCATTATGTAGAGCATATGTAGAGTTTTCGACGTTTTGGTTACAATCTCATTCACATGTGCTTGCCATGACATGTCATTTGATATTGTTACACCTAGAAGCCTAGTTTTGGCGGCAGCCGGCAGGCTTTTTCCTTGAATCATGCTGTCCAGTAGTGCTAACTGGTATTTTTTTTTTGGCTTCAAAAAGATGCATCAATTTACACTTGTCAGCGTTCAATGTCATCTTGTTTGCTGTTGCCCAATCACTTATCTTGTCAGTGTGCTCTTGCAACAGGCAGTGCCGATCTACTTGGTCAATTCAACACTCCTGGTGTATAAGATCATCTACATACTTCAGTCGGTTCTCAATATCAGCAGCGGCACCGTTAACCATAGCCAGGATAGCAACCGGGCCAACTAACATGCGTTGTGAAGTGCCGCATGTTATTGTTCTCCAATGGCTCATGGTTCCATCTGGCAACTTGACCCGCTGCTGTCGGTCCTGCAAGAATGAACATAGCCACTCTGCATACCCCGAGGCGAAGTCCCATTGAAAGTCCGAATCCCACACAGTCCACACAGCCGGAGTGAAGTCCCATTCCATGTGGTTATCCCTGCGATCCAGACGAGGAGAACCGCGACGCAGCGCTACGTCCAGAGAGGCACGACACGTCTCAGGCGGTGCCCTGCGCACCGCTTGCTCCACCGCCTGCTTCTGGTGTCAATGATGCTGGAATGCGTTCCGTGTACCTAAGGCTAGATGTCGCCCAGGGGAACCGAAATAGAAGTTTTTAGGCCGAGCGAGCATTCAGGTCGGCCGAACACGTTTTTAAAGGAAATCAGCTGCCCTTCGAACGGCCTCAGAGCCAACAGCTCGTCAGCCGGCTGTGCAGGCCGTGCTGTGTGTGAGCCGGCTGTGTAGGCCGTGCTGTGTGTGAGCCGGCTGTGTGTGAGCCGGCTGTGCAGGCCGTGCTGTGTGTGAGCTGGCTGTGTGTAAGCCGGCTGTGCAGGCCGTGCTGTGTGTGAGCCGGCTGCGTGTGAGCCGGCTGTGTAGGCCGTGCCGTTGTGTGAGCCCGCTCTGTGGGCCGCGCTGTGTGTGAGCCGGCTGTGAGGGTCGTGCTGTGCGTGAGCCGGCTTTGTGGACCGCGCTGTGTGTGAGCCGGCTGTGTGGGCCGTAGTTCCATCTTGCTGGAACAATTGCTGGTCCATTTGTAGCATGTCACCACCATACTTGAGCTTCAGGACCACCCAGAACTTGGCTAACACCTCCAGGTACCGTTTGGTGTTGACTCACCACAGCTGTGTCATCGTGATCTTCGAAACAAAAAGGTCTGATTATGGCCCAGCTGTTTAAGGCGCATCATGCATCGGATTTTGCACTGTGTATGTTGCTCCAGCGACCACGTCAGGCTGCTCATTGGACCAGAATCGGTAGTGCTGGCTGAGAAGTGGCCCATCAGGCTGAACACTACCCTCCTCGCTAAACCAGCCTCGTTGCAAAAATGTAGTCTCAGCCTCGCGCCTTTTCAAAATCGGCCGTGGTAACCAAGTAGTTATAACATGTCAGCATGGTTGCAACGTTGCAGAGACGCGTGTAACATGTCATAGAGATTGTGCCAGGTCTAGCCATTTAGCGGAGGACGTCAGCTTCTACATTTTTTCTAACCTCAACGCTGTATCTACGACATGTTTCCACGTCGGCAGCTTGTATATCGTACATCCGCCAATGATCTGGCGCAGTGCCAGAGGCAGACTTACGAAGTTTCACAAGATGATGTTGCGGGGCAAACGTTGCTCTTTATTTCGCAACGCTTCACTGAAAGCAGAATGTTTATCATGCTATGACATACAATATTCAGATTATATTTATTATTATATTAATATTCATATCATATTAATGTTTAATGTATGATATTTGCATTATATGTATTATTCTATTAATATGTGCATTATATTAATATTTCATATATAATATTTATTACTATACAAATATCTATTATTATATATTTCCGTAATTTGAAGGATCCTGAATACATCCTTGATTCAGCAAGCTTACACACATGTTCATGTCATTGGGCTCGCGATGACCGGATTTCGGAGGCGCAAAATATTGCATTTGATTGTATTTAATACCCTACTTGGATGTGCAAGCAGCTTTCTCTACCTACTGCTGCTTCTGTCTGTGTGGTATTGATATTCTTCGAATTTGTGCACAAAAGGGGAGTTACCAACGACCATAAGCTTTTGTTCAAACCGTGTCTATTAGAATGTGGCCAGAGGATTCTAAGGTTTCAGCGCGGCTGTTTCTCCCCACTGCATGGGTTTTATGCACAGTGCATGCAAATTAAGGCGCATAACAATTGTGGTGGGTTTGAACCGACGAACAAGCCAGCTGGGTTTATTTCCTTCAAGGGTAAACGGATAACTTTTTACCCGCAAGATGGCGTTTTGATTAGAAGAAATCACGAATGAGCAGTATGTTGACGCTTAGGCGCTTTGTTTTCGGTTGCAATGCTACGGCCTGATGAACGTCTGCAGGCAAATGCGACTGCGGCGTTCCGCAGGACCCATTCTAAGGCCAAAATATCGCACGACTGTTGAACAATGAAAACAACGACGAGAAAAGAGAGACGGCAGGCGAATCAGAGGAGTGTAATGCATTTTGTACTTACTTCACTTCAGTTCGGTTTCATGCATCTTCATCTGGGTTGCAACGGTGATGCAACGGGGTCTTGTTCCATTGAGGCACATTATTGAGCTGAATTTCATTGGACATGCGAATTAAAGGGAGGCGCATTGTGGGTCAAACTCTGACGTCACCATGATCCACATGTAAACGGCTTAACGTGCGCTGCGCTCGTACGATTCACGGGCATTTTGCCGTTTTGAATAAACCAGAACAATCCCATCATTTTCGAGATATAAGTGTGAATGGATGTGAACCACTCTCTCTTACACTAAATGGTTGATGGCAAATGCGTCAGTAACTGCCGGGTTAAGCCAAACGGCAAAACTACATGTGCCGTCTCGTGGAATTTCTGTCGAGCTTTTAGAATGCCTGTTATGTTAAAGCATCAGATGATTGGACGCTAGCGAAAAGATGCAACGTGCAATGTGGGCAAAGCGCATAGAATAAACCGGTCATATATCAACCAAACGTGTTATGTAAAACATCGGTTACGTCGTTTGTTTCCCAAACAACGACCGCCGTAAAATACGTTTACTAACCGGAGAATTGAGTATTTGCGGAAGGTTGTGTCCAACTAGAACGATAGTGCGGATTTGTGTTCTTGAAGTCACATGCAACCTGACCTGTGCAGATAATTTGTACGGATTATGCAACACCCGTTGCACTTCCTCTCTGCAGCCTCCTTGTCCGAAGACCAATGCAGGCCGGCCGCCTCGCGTGTGCCCCCTGCGTTCCGCCTCGACGCGCCGCCGCCGGTGCGGACACTGAACCCTCCCGCCTGGCGGCCGGCCCCGGGCAGACCGCCCGCTGACCAGTCGGGCCGGGGCGGGCACCTATAAAGGGACGAGCAGGAGGCAGGTCAGCACTCTTCCGTCACATCTTCCGCATCGCGCTGAGCGCCGCTCCAAGCTCTGAGGTAAGGCTTGACAACGCGGAGCGCGGTGTCCATCCGCAGCTAGGTGGTGATGGTTGGTAGAAGAGAGGCGCTGCGAGCCGGGCAATGACGGTCGACGGTTTTACTGTGACGAGATGAACAGGAACCTTGAGCGGGTATATTGCTGTCGCCTTTTTGAAACAGTGGAATGCTGCAACTTGCAAGCCAGAAAAGATATATTCATCCACCCACTGGTCTTTGCTCATATATTGCAGCTCTGGTATAAACTATTCGGCGGTGCTTAGACGGCAGGGCTCTCGGGAGAGCATGTGGATCAGGGTAATATAGTCGACATGACTGTGGTTTAGGTCTTGTTCGTTGGTTAATGCGTTCCCTGCCTGATCGTCGTACAACATGCGTTGATGAAGGGATCAAAACATAGATCACACACTGGCAGCCGTGTATGATGAACACACGCCGACGAGACATTGGCGGGATGAATACAGCGCTGGTCACTCGATCGAGGTGCTTTGGCCGGTATCCACTCCGCGGGACTTTGGCCAGGGCGTTTGACTGACTGCAAAGATTTTCACATTCATAAGTGGTCTCAAAACTAACAATGGGTCAAAACATTGGACTGAATTGCTTTGTAACCGTTTACAATAAGAGTTCAGTACAATTTGTGCGAATTGTGGATGGAAGCTTCCACAGACATATAACTGTTGCCTAGTTCTCACAGCACCTGTGACGCTGGGTGACGCACTGGACACGGCGTGTTTGGTGTACACCACCAAGGTACACCATCAACACACACCTCGTGACTCGCCAGCCGAATTTCTGACCCATGACTGAAACCTTGCATACCTTGTCCCAAACTTGAGACGTGGGTGGCTTGGCATGGCTATCTCAGAGTCGTGACTATCAGCCTTTCGCGTGTGGTCCGGGTCACGTGACCACTTTTGACCCCTGGCCTCACCGCAGGCACCATGAAGCTGCTGTTTTTGCTGTCGGCGTTGATCGGCTTGCTGCAGGTGGCCCAAGTGCAGGGCCTCCTTGGTTTGGGCCTCCTCAAGGCTGGTGCCCTCGGGTTCGCCCTCGGCAGGGGCGGCAGGTGAGCAGGAATGGGCTACAGTGCATGGTGCAGCTGTATGTTAGGCAAAACACTGACACGGCAATTCAGTGCCTGCACTGAGCGCAGTTGGCCATTTCGTGGTTGAGGCTGCAACGGAAAGTCGAAACGCAGAAGTTATATGATGAGTATATGAGACAATAGAGAATATTGGATAACTTACTCGATCGATTGCAGTTATAACCGGCAGTGCAGTTCAGGCGTCATAAAAAGGATAATCAAGGTGTAGCCGGCTTCATGCAATCTGTTTACCAATACAAAAGAATTGTTCTTTCTGCGTCAGAAGGTTGCAGCTCACAGTGTTCGTATGTCGCGGGTCGACACGATTTTGCACCTAATCAACATTGCATCCACAAGAAGTTTTGCTAGCGTGAGAGATTCGCACAAAACCTACCCCCGAAAAACATGAACAAGCAGACACCCCACCCGCCTCGCTACCAGCGACATCACCCTCACGCTCCGCTCCGTCAGGGGCTTCGGCGGCCGAGGCTTCGGTCGCCGCGGCGGCTACGGCGGTCGCCGCGGCTACGGCGGTCGCCGCGGCGGCTTCGGCGGTCGCCGTGGCGGCTTCGGTCCGCCGCCGCTACGGCCGCGACCTGACGGCGGTCGCTTCGCCGGCGCCGGCGCCGCTGGACCAGGAGGAGCAGGTGGAGGCGCTCCAGATGGACGCCTTCTTCCAGGCGGTGCGTCTGGGCGACGCCGACGGCTGTGGCATGCGGCTCGTCTGCGAGCTACGCACACTCGACCCGCGCTTCCTCGGCGAGGAGGGCAACATGATCCTGGCGCTCTTCGGGTGAGCTGCAGCAGTCTGTGTTTTGAATGGTTTCTTGTAAGAGTATGACTGGGGATGGCTGTTCCTGTTGGTTCACGGAACACTCTAAGCGATCCTTCCGCTTGACGACCAGCATTTACATCCAGGGAGTGCAGTGCAAGGACAACACGCAGTTATATCTTCATTTCGTAGTCAAGAGCAAGCACAAGCACAGCCACATAAACAAGCACAAGCACAAGCACAAGCACGAGCACAAGAAAAAGCACAAACAAACATCCCACCGTTCTATGGTTTCAGCGTTTACCACAAACTGGGGACGGAGTAAACTGCGGCTTTGAGGTCCACTCCAGTTCCGAGACGAGACCGACCTGATGTTGAGCAAAATTTCCTTAATATTCTTCCGTTAGGTTAGGCTATTTGGGCTCATCGGCGCGTACACGACAGCTTTTATTTAGTTAGATATTAGCCTGCTGATCACAGGGACGGCGAATGTCGGCTCAAGCGGCAGACAGTTCTGTTCGAGAGAATGGACAGCAACCCGCCTTTGCTTTTGTATGACTTGTGTTCTACGTTTAGTCGTTATGAAGCCCATAACGCCTGCATGTTCAAGTCATCGTTCATTCACACCAAAGCCTCTTGCCAAAGGCAGTGCTCACAGGCTCTGATTATGACGGATGTCCTGCAAACCCGGTTTCTCATGTTCCAGTCGTGAACATCATTTAGTTTTCCCTGGCAGGCATCATGGAGTCCTCTCGTCGAGTGGTCCGGCATCCTTTTCATAACTCTCGCGGATTGGTTGTTGCCTGAAGGAGCTCTAACGGTTCTACTCCAACGGCCCAGCCGAAAATAAAGCTTGTCATCGGGGTGAACGATCGCTGTCGTGCCGGTGCTTCTTCTGTGTCTCGTGCACCGCTCAGCAAACAAAGCCTGACATCAGCGCAGGGTTAAGGAGACCAGGACCTAGAAAAAAAGATAGCAGTGCATTGGACAATGCAAATTACATTCATAGCAGGCTATGGCCACAATGTGGTCGGTTACGTTTAACTAATCGGGTGTTACAGGCATGTCGTCACGTAGCGCGCTGTAGACACAAGTGGAGCCGCATGTCCACCCGTTCAAGACCGGATTAGGTATGGCCACTTGGCTCCTGCACTCCTGCCCCTTGCCTCGCCCTCGACTCCGCGTGACCCCTGTGCAGTTCCCCCGCCCCTGCCCCTGTCTCTAAGCCTGACACCGCCACCGCAGGTCTGACGTGCCGTCCTCGGGCCGGGCCGACTCCCCGAAGCGTCTGTACGACGCCGCCGCCGAGCTTGGCAGCAGCACCGGCACCGCCGAGGTGTGCGCCCAGACCTTCACCGCCTGCGAGTACGACTCGGAGACGCTGCTGGAGGCCATCACCAGCCCGGAGGAGCAGTGAGCCGGCGCCGGACGATTCCCGGCGTCCTCTCTGTCCGCGGTGGGCGTCCCCACGCGCCGGACCGGCGGAGCACGTCCGGGAAGGATGTGCCGCTCCCGTCCGGCGAGGCGCCGGCTCGCCCATCGGTGCGACGAGCGAAGCCGTGCTGCGCGTTGGTGACGACGTGACTCTGGCTGGTTTGATTCCTTGCAGGTTCCGTGGCATTAATGGGGCAATGAGCGGTCGAGGGCGTTTCCATCTGCCCATGATACCTGTCATGATGATGTGAGCCTTGTCTTCATAACATTCTCATCCACGTCCATCCATGTTGCCTCGTTGCAACATGGACCAATAAACCAGAAACGCAACAACGCCGCGTTTGATGGCCCAGCTCTAACACACGGAGCTGCCGGCCGCAGGTCAAGCGAATGGCGCACTGGTCTTGCAGACCGGCAAGGTTTTAACGATCGGGTTGAAGGTCAAGTTCGTCGTGCGCTGAGGCACTGCCGGGGGGGTGGGTGAGGTTGGGGAGGATGGATCCGCATAGCCGGTCGAGGGCGAGCGGCGCGTGGTGACGCTGCACAATCGCTCGAGTGCAAAACCATCGGCTAGTGTGAGCAGAGTGGTCATGGAAAACGCGGGCAATAGATGGTTGAAAGAACGAAGTACGGACAACAATGCGGCATTGAACTAGAAATATACTAGATGCGCGATGTGGGATAAGTATCTAGATTATGCTAGACATGTGACAGCCAGTAACTGAAGGTAGGGTGGCACAGGTGCTACAATAGGTAAAGTATTTCGAACTTAGATGAATGCTGTGCCGATAATTTTTTGCAAGAAGCTGTCCAAAAATGTTACACTACATTGCAATGACAGTCTGTGCTGCTGTTAGGACACAATGCAGCATATTTTATATGAAGCTGATAGAAAAATCATATTCCTGTCTTCGAACAACCCACCTTTCAGTTGTGATCGCCGCGTTCTCGATTGAGGTTTTAAGACCACTGTGCGTGTCGCGAAAGTCGGAAAATTCACGGCGTAAGGTGCACAGAAAGTTTGGCCCAGTGCACCGTGAGATCTTTGTTTCTCTAAAAAAAAGACTGATGGATCAGGCCAAGGCAATTTAGCAGCCTTCCGTTCTGAAACGGGTTCATCGAAATTGGCCTGATAGAATTCGGTTCATAGCTCTGAAAAGCAGACCTTTAACACGTGAATCCTATGAGCTAGCAGGGACGTTACGTCGTAGAGCGGTGTTGCTACCAGCGTACTTCCGCGAGGGCCGATGGATAATGACACACCGTGCGTGACCGATGCGAATAACACCTCATCGAAGCCGCCATGGGAGACTGCTCATCTGCATACTCAGAGGCGTACACGCCCTGTGTGCGCAGCATCACTCAGCCATCCTGGAGGCTGCACCCTGGCAATTAGTGGTGGCAGCGGTGACCTTGGCGGCCGCATTACATGCGCTTCAAACGGCTGCATGGGGATGGTTATGGCTAATGCCGCAGGCTAAGTCATCCTCTGCAGGGCCTAAACATCTCCCGATGAGGTGAGCCGCCCTGCTTTAATACAGGGTGTCCACAAAGGAGGAGCACTCGGACGTTTCTTCGTAACTTATTAAACATCACATAATTAGAATCCACATATTCTTCCAATGACCAAATGTAGGCGCAATACATCGTCTTAATAATGGAACTGTCATTATTGCACATCCTATATGATACCCTGCATGGTCCACAACCACGAACTTCTTCACCGAAATATGTTTTGTGTAGATAGGAGATCGAAATTAGCTTAGTTGGGACTGGTGCAACTTAAATCATTTTTTTCAGAATCCAAGATGACTGCCATTAACATCTTGAATTTTGGTCCAATTTAAGTTTTTTCTCCATGGCTTGAAGGTTTATGCGACATCATTTTTATAATATTTGTATTGTGGGGAGGCCATTTTTACAGTTATTTTGAATGCACAGGATCAAATTCAGTTTTAAACTGGAAGTGCAGATCCAAACTTGATCATGCATCACCAAAGTTACGTGCATTGACCGATATATGCCATTCATTGTCTTATTGTACTCATTGCAAGGGTAGCACTCACAGAAGCTGCGTGTGTTATATACCGTAATTATGTAAACATATGCTACCCACGCGAAGTAAGTACTATGGAAGACGCTTTTCGCTTGGTCGGGCACGTATAGTTGAAGTTGCCGACCTTATGCTTCTTATATGAGACCCTGCAATGTCAACTACCGTGAATTTCTGACATAAATCCTATCTGTAACTAATTTCATGTAGCCTGGACGGCCAAATTAGCTTGGATGCTGCTTGCACAACTTCGTGCACTTCTCACAATTCCAGATGACCGCCGCCGACATTTGGACTGTTGGTCCAGCTTCAAAATTATATCCCGACGACTTGGAGGCTCACTCGAGTGATATCGTTTAAGTATTATTACAGTGGGCACCCCATTTTTACGGCTATTTTTAGTGTATTGGATCAAATTCAAGGCTGAATTAGAAGTGCAAATTTAACCGTGATTATGTATCACTGAGATTCACCCTCTTGATCGATATATGCCTGTTGTATTCTCATACTCATAGTGGGGCGTGCATATCGGAACAGCTGCATTTGCTATAAGCTATAGCAATGTTAAGAAATGTCACATGCGCGACGCATGTATTATAGGAATCTTTAATGCTCACATCGACATGTCTTATTGGATGTACAATAGCGTCCGTTCAGAACTTCATCGCTGCCAAGCCATGCGCGATGAGTGGCGCACAGCTCTGCAAGGAACTAATACGTTAGCTCACAAATGATGCCACACATCGAGTAGAAAATATTTATATATGCATTAGGAGGAAAATATTTGAGTTTTCATATCGCGACTCCCAAAAGTTGATGAAGTCTCATTATAGTGATTTTGATTTGAAGCGAGACTGTCTGCTGTCTTGGAAACAGTGCAAGCCGAAAGACAGCCAAATCCTCGCATCTTGGTACAGATCAAGCGGTGTAAAACCGTGAATAAGCAGAGCCAAATCCCGTTCAAGTAACTGTCGAAGAACCTCTGGGTATAGAGCGATAGCACTTCTGCTCAGTGTGGTGATTGATATGCATCTCTATGGCAGAGCCGCCCCCCCCCCCCCCCCCACACACACACCAGTCGATCTTGCTGAACATTAAAACCCGCCCACTCGGCCGGCCTTCCAGTCTTGTGGACTTCGGACAGTCATGCCGGCGTTTCACTGCTGACTGAACCTGACGACAGTAAACTGAATCCGTGACTCTAAAGCGGACAGAGCCTTGTCGGGAGCTGAGGCGTGTTTAGAATGGAAGACCCCCTGTTCTGTCGCAGGTGCATGGCCTGGTAGGTGAGTCGCAGAGAGGACACCTCACTATCACCGTTCTGCTGCAGAGGATGCACTCAAAAGGCGTCGAGACATACCAGGAATTGAGAAACCACCTGGGGACAGTCAAAGATCACCTTACCGGAAGTATGTAAGTGAGCTGCTTCTTCAAGCCTAAACTGCTGACGCTCATGATCATGCGGGGGGGGGGGAGCAGGACGACAACTTCCTCCTTCAGCACTGTCTCAAGACAACGCTGCCGTATTTCTTCGCGACAGGTCAGTTCTGCTCGCTAATTGAGCTGACATGTGAGGCAGAAGAGCACCTTTCCCAGCGAGCCAGGTAGGAGCTACGGCGGGCGTGCACGCCTGGTGACACTCAGCGAGACAGCGAGGTCGCAGTGCCAGCACTGAAAGCCTGGAGACTTGATTGACCCACTACACTCTCAGCCGCCCCTCCCCGAAGAACCTTCCGCGTGACCCCCCCCCCCCCCACCCCCCACCCCCACCCCATCCCCACCCGACCCCCCGAAGAAGAGAAGCCAGAAATATTTCCAACTTCGACTGGAGCATCGAAGTCTCCACCGTCTTACCAGCCGTCTTAACAGCAGTATTTACTCCCGAAGCGTTCCTGGATCTAGTGGCTTGCAGCTGCACCGTTCAAAGCAAGACATGCAGTGTCGCACGCTGCAGCTGCAGCAGCAGCAGCGCAGGCCTTGGCGTACAGATTACTGCAAGGGTTAGGGAGAAATCGCATGCTATAGCCGTGGCGCCAGCAAGCAGATGGACATCGCAGGCAACGAAAAGGAGCTGGCTGTACATAGTGATGATGACTATGAACAGCAGTAGAGAAGTGTGACGGGTGCTGACTGGTAGTACGGTGCTAAAGATGCATCTGGGTGTCGCGACACTGCAGGTCAAAGGCCTTCACTGAGCGTGAGATTTTATCTCTGATTTGGTGTCGGATTATTACTCGTAGGCCAAAAATTAGTCCAGTAATGGACTTTGGCACACCATGATAAGCCCCAAAAGAGATATTATACTACCATTTATGTCATCCAGAGCAAAATAAGAAAACTGGTGAGCATCCAAGATGGCGGAGATTGCCGCCTTGAATGCTGATAAATGCTCAAGGTTGCACAAATAGCTAGCAGGCTGGGCTGGCTTTCCTTATCATATCAAGCATATTTCTGCGAAAAAGCTTGCGGTAGTTGACATTTTAAGGTCAACACTCTAACATAACAAAACATTAAATTACAAGGTCAACACAATAACATAATACTAATGCCCCGTCTTAACACAACAAGGTCGAACATCGGTCATCAAATCGTCATTCAGCAGCTTCTTGAAGAAGATGCTCCGGATGCGAGATCAGGATCTTCAGCGGGGAGCGTCTTGCTGGCGGGCGATGGTGTCACCCGCCACATGGGCCGTGACACGGTCCGCCCTTGGGACGATCGCAGCCTCGGGCTCCTCTGTTGTGCGATGTTTTGGTAGCACACCCGCGATCCTTAAGGTGACCCAGTATGATGATATTGCATGGACTGAGGATCAGTGAGTTGAGGGCTCAGCTGATTCCTTTATAGTGCGATTGGTGTCATGGCTTGGTACATGGACTGGCAGCCAGTTAAGGAGTAAGCCCTCAGCCGCGTGCGAACCCTAAGGAGTAAGCCCTCAGCCACGTGCGGACGTTGCAATGTCTTGATGCAGCCACTCCTGATCACAGTCAAGGCGATGTCTTAGCCCGAGGTTTGTCCAAAAGGGCTAAAGGCACAGTGTTAATGTAGCGCTTGTAGTTGATGATGGCGGCCCACCCTGCGCATCTTCGAAGAAGGAGCCAGTGGCATGCTCCTCCCACCTCATGACCTATCAAATAGCAATATTGGCGACAGCCTCTTGTGCATCTTTTCCCTTCCCACCCCATGGTCAACCACGTAGTCGTCTTTTTAAGGATGCAGCCTGCTGAGGGGCACGTGGGGCACGTGAGCCTCCGACGAGCCCCAAGCCTATTTTCCGAAC